GTTCTTGAGTTATAAATAGTGTAACTAACACGACTTTCTTTTATACATATATATAATATCCGGCGCATGGATTTATCTTATATTTTGTTTATCGTGAGAATTTTCTAACATTGATAGATATGTAGCAGTCATTATAACATTGCGATGTAATAATTAAATCATGTTGTTATTAATAACAAGTTTTCACATCATCGTTATCAGCTCACTATACGTCCCCACCGAGGCGCTCGGAGCCTACCCTAAGTTAGGGGTGACTAGGCCATAGTCAACCACGCTGGACAAGTGCGGGTTGACTTCACACATATCTTTGAATTACTTCTCAGATATGTGCAGGTTGCATCACGATGTTTTCCTTCACCATAAGAACGTCGGATAAATGTACATACTCGTATGTAAATCGGAAATGGAAAAACACATTGGTACTTGGCGGGATTTGAACCCAGGACCTGCAGATTGCAAGTCAAGCGTTAGAGAGCCACCGACGATAATATAATTTCACATAGATAATCTATATTTATTTTTTTATATCACAAGGTGGCAAACGAGCGAGCGGTCACCTGAAATCGCTGAAATAGCGAAGTGACCGTTGCCCATAGACATACGCAATCGCATATGCGTTGCCTACCTTTAATCGACGGACGAGAGGACGCACAGAAAGAAAATATTTTCCCTCACCATGCATCCTCTCATCCGGAAAGTTCACTTTCACTTCCCATCCTTTCCTTATAAGAAAAGGGTGGGAAGGGAAAGAGGACTAAATGAGGCCTCCGGGACGCACACTGATCAGACGAAACGCGGAATTGCTTCCACTTCACGCCTGTTTTCTGTGTGGTCGTGGTATTTCACCGGGCGAACCTGGCCATTTCGTGCGAAGATGTTAAAGCGGGTTCTACCACTATTGACTTCTGAGTCAGCGTTTACTATAGCCTAGTCCCTCCTAACTTTGGGTAGGTTAGCCCATTATTGGGCACGTATTTTAAGCTGATGATGTTACATGTCTTTTAGGTTCAGTTCTTGTTGGACTCCGGTGCTAAAGTGGACGAGCGCGCGCTGTGTGGTGCGACTGCGCTCCACTTTGCGTCTGAATGCGGACACGCGGCGGTTGTCTGTGCACTTATAGATCATAATGCTAAGATCCTCACTAATGAGAATGGTAAGTTTGATGATATGTTAAAGAATTAAGTTTACTATAAATTTTTAAGTGTTTTGTATCCTCTTAAAGTCCGGTTTCAGCGTCTATGGTCATCTTTTAATATGTAAATATAGGTTATGTTAGGTAGGAATGTTTTCTTAACAAACATACAGAAAGACATAATATGATGATTTTTCAATTTATATCTTGATAAACGTTTTTTTTTTTTTAATTTATGTTGTATCACCTCGCCAATGTATTTACGAGCACCGCAATATTATATCCGCAGGTTTTCACAGTCGTAATACTTGTATAAAAACATATCTCTAACATACGTCCTGGTAATGTAGAAACAACATGTTTTTATACAAGTACCTAATATATGTTTGTCCTACAAATATTGTAGAGCGTCGGTGGCTCAAGAGTCAAGCACTTGACTTGCAACCTGCAGATCCTGGGTTCGAATCCCGCCATGTACCAATGTGTTTTTCGATTTTCGATTTACATATGTACATTTATCCGAGGTTCTTACGGTGAAGGAAAACATCGCGATGCAACCTGCACATATCTGAGAAGGAATTCAAAGATATGTGTGAAGTCAACCCGCACTTGGCCAGCGTGGTTGACTATGGCCTAATCATCCTTAACTTAGGGTAGGCTCCGAGACCCTCGGTGAGGACGTATAGTGAGCTGATGATGATTATACGATCAAATGCGAATGTTTTGGATGTATGGATGGATGTTTGTTAAAAAGTATCTCTGAAATGTATATACATAGTGTGGAGGTATATAGTGAGATAGATATAATTGTGTTAGGCATGACCCCGCTGCAGTGCGCTGCTGAGCGAGCGCGTGCCTCAGTGGTGGAGCTGCTGGCGACGCGGCCGGAGGTGACGAGGGTACAGGCTATTGAGGCTTACGAACTGTTGGGTGCATCATTTGCTAACGATAAGGAGTACTATTGTTTAAGGGTACGTAAATAATAACATTTCCTGTCTTCCTTGGAACGATGGGCTATTGACACTTTTTACTTGGTCCATGGCATTTTTTGACAATTTAATGAGATTTTTGACAATATTTTGAATTTGAAATTGCAACTCGCATACCAAATCTGTAAAATATGTCATCCCTGTCTTTCATTTTTGATAAAACAATATGATTTAAACTAGGATTTTGGTTTTGGAAATCTACGGTAAGTTTGTTAAAATACGAAATAGATATGTTTTATATTGTTTTAGAAATTAAGTTTAGTTAAAGTTAAGATCTTGATAGTTTATGAAGGTTTTTTATGTTTATTTTCGTTTTGTGATATTGTGTGTAGATGGCGTACCAGTACCTGCACCGCGCGATGGTGATGCGGTACGACACTCGGTACGGGCTGCTGCTGAAGAAGCCCGCGGACCCGATACCCGCTTACGACAACTGGAGGGAGAGCACCACTATAGAGGTATTGGGCACTATAATTAACTTTTAAAACTTTAGTAAAGTTTAGAACATACATTTATAATATTTAACGTAATTATATTTAAAGATATTTTAAAATTTCAATGCACAAAATCTACTAAAATTAATGGTCGCACTCGTTGTTAAGTAGTCACTAAAAGGTTGATTAAACCATTTAACGATTCTGAGAGGCAGTTAGTCAATGACTCAACTTTTTATCATTTTCTTACTAATATAAATGAACATGTTTGGATAGATGTATGTTAGGTGACTGTAAAGATGCATTGATTACGCTTAAATTTGACACAGATGTATAACATTGTCTGGAAGAGGCTACTAATTATTTTTTTAATTCGTGGGCGAAATTAAAAAAAAAACAATGAGGGTATTTGATAGTAAAAGTATGTGTTTGTGTGTGTGTGTGTGTGTGTGTAAGGACGTGGAAGGTCTGCACGGCAACGCGCACGCGCTGCACATGGAGGGCCTGGCGGTGCGGGAGCGCGTGCTGGGGCGCGGCTGCCCCGACCTGCCGCATCCTGTCGTCTTCCGCGGAGCAGTGTTCGCTGACGAGGCGCGCTTCGACCGCTGCCTGGCGCTCTGGAGGCACGCCCTGCAGCTGCGGCATCACAACAAGGTCACGCACTTCACGATCCCTTCAAAAATACGTTCTCATACTTTTTTCACAAGCGAAAGCCTTCAATTTGAAATTATTTTCTAGCGTCCTTCATTTAGTTTAATTCAGAGTAGCTTTTTCTAGCAATTTTCTATTAATGTTTTGACTTTTAAATTATAATACAGTACTTATTTCATTGGACATCTCAAAAAGGAGTTCGGAGCTCCGACAAGCAGTTTGTGAAAACGCCCCTTTAGAGTACACAGAAAAACGCGGAGCATTCGACGTCAGGAAATAAAGTTATAGGTTCATGAGAAATTTACTAGCAGTATTTTTTTTAAGAAAAAATGTAAGGGATCTGCGAAAAAAAATTAGTGACCTCCTTTTAGAATAAAAATGTATAGACTGATTATATCATAGACAAAGTTACTTTAAAATAATAGATCATAGATTAAAAAAATTTACTCGACTACAGATTCACTATCAGAGTTTCTTAGTATAGACTTAAATCCACACTAAAGGGCATTTTAAGTGTCAATTGATTGATTTTGAATATGATAGTAGTGATGATAATTTGTTAATTTTGTTTATAGGTATCTATAGTGAAGGATCTGTTGAGGTTCGCGCAAGTCTTCTCGCAAATGATTCACATCGGAATTGAATTGCCATTAAATCAGGTAATATTATCTCTAACTGTTAATTTATCTTACTAATATTATAAATGTCAATGTTTGGATGGATGGATGTTTGTTAGAACGGCTGAATGGTTTAAGATGAAATTTGGCATGCATATAGAACAGTCCGGAAGTGCATAGGCTACTAATTATGTTTTTCTTTTAATGCCAAGCGGACGAAGTCGCAGGCGACATCTAGTAAATAAATTAATGTATACGGAAGAATATAACCTACCTATTAATTTTTTTTTTATTTTTCGCGGACAAAGTCGCGGGATACAGCTATTAAATAAACTAATATTCCTGTAGTTTTATATTTTTTTTAATGTTTTAGGTGTGTTTTGTATTAGAAGCGTGCGCGGAAGAACTAAAGCGAGGTCAGATGAGGATCAAGAAGCCGCAGATCAACTACGACCCCGAGGCCTTGATAGTATGTTGATATTCCATTATGTTATATATTTCCTCATTTATACCCATTTATTAGTTTTAGTGATGTCCCTTATCGATTCATATCGATAGAATACATCACTAGTTGTAGATGACATTTCAAATTTAAAGCGTTTTAGTACACGTTTTAGTTAAGTTTTTAATGTGTAGATGGCGCTTTTTAGTTTTTTATATATATTTTTAATAGAAGTGTTTTAATTCTTTAAATTATAATAAATTAGAAAGAATAATTAAAAAAATAATAATTGCTATTATTTTTAAAGTTTCTGACTTGATGAATTCAAATGTATTTTAATACAGTGCCTTTTCTGGATTAAATCTTTACTAGATGTGTTATTTCTAGATATTTAAAATGAGCCGTTAGTTTCGTTTTAAGTTAAATTGGAGTTATAGCTATTAAAATTTCAATATTTGTACGTAAAAAAATAGTATTGGGCGCCTTATGTTTTTGAATAGCAAAAGCAATCACCACTAAAGTGCGTACATACACTAACAAATCATCTGTACTTATGTCGCGTTTACATTTGACATACAACAATCTATATTACTATAAGAACGTCAATGGCTCAGGGGTTAAGCATTTGGAATCAGGTCCAGGGTTCAAATCCCATGTACCAATGTGTTTTATGATTTTCGATTTACATATGTACATTTATCCTATGTTCTTACAGTGAAGGAAAACATTGTGATGCTGCACATATTTGAAGAAATTTCAAGATATGTGTGAAGTAAACCCGCACTGGAACAGTGTTGACTATAGCCTAGTAGCCCCAACTTAGGGTAGGCTCCGAGCCCCTCAGTGGGGACGTATAGCTGATGATTACGAGAATGTCTCAAGTTCTGAATATTACTTAGAACTTAATTGTTAAATAAATTGGTTTCACAATCACCAAATAAGCTGTGTTATGTGATGACTTTACACATATCTTTGAATTTCTTACCATGTGTTTCTGAGACCAAAATTCTCAATATAAAATATATCTCATTTGGTCTCAGAATCCTACGGTTAGCAAAATTACAACATGATGTATTCCTTCACTGTATAAACAGGATAAATTTACATAGCGGGAATCGAACCCAGAAGATTACAAGTCAAGTAACCTCTAAGCTACTGATTTTACCATAGGTTTCTGAGACCAAGATCTCTGTTTTGGCAAAGATAATGACATGTCTGTTATTTATTTTTAAATATTATTAATAAGAATACTTTGGCGCGAATGACGTGCTTTCATTACAAAGTCAAATGTCAGAATGATAAGTGAGGGGACATAAACGTCGACACTTTAGTAAGGCTAGTGTTGAGCCAGTACACCGGCACAGTGCCGGATTTTCTTCCAAAGTTTCATACAGAGATTTTGGTATTAGAAATCAACGGTTAGTGTTATCAGTTAAAGTTGGTATAGCATTGTTGTGTGTGATGTAAACGCGGCGATGTAGAGTGCTTGCTAGTGTTGAATATCAGAGCTTGGCTCTCGCGTACTCGCTGCAGGAGGAGTATGAGAGCAACGTGCGCACCGCGCTCTACCTCGTCGCCGTCGCTGCACGTCTGCTGGAGGACCCTGAACATGATGAGGTCTGGTTCTGTTTATATTGCTAATCTTAATGTTGATTATACGAATGTTTGGATGGATGGATGGATGTTTTTTTGGAGATATCCTCAGCTTAAACAAGACAATATTGGTAATCTTACTAATATTATAAATACAAATATTCGGATGGATGGATGAATGTTTGAAGTCTTCAGCTTTAAAAATATTTTTTTTGAGATTGTTCCGTCTTTTTTTTAATGACATTTTTCAAACCGTGTATGTATTTCGGCTTAAGTATTATATTTTAATTCCTTCGCAGTCGAAAAGGAATAAATTTAAAATGATTATATTATTATATATTTTATTATATTAATAGGAAAGACGTATAAAAACAGATGACAGCGGATTTGTCGCTGTCGTCAATTACAGCTTTCTATTTCTCCCCATTTTTAGAGTTTGCATGTTTTTTTTTCGCATATCAAGTTTGAATATTGTACAATTTTTAAGAAAAAGAAATATATAAGTATGTGTTGTGTAAGTGAGATATGAATGTATCGCGCAGGAGTGCCGCAGCGCGGTGCGTCGTGCGATCTTCAGTCTGCGGCGAGTGCGGCTGCAGTGCGGGCACACGCTGCTGCATCTCGCCGCTGACCGCCGCACACCGGTCGACGACTTCCACACCAGCGACGTCTGTCAGTCAGTACATACACAACATCACATCATCACACCATCACACACCACTTTCACTATAACAGTGAGACACGAGCTAAAATTCTGAAATAACGAAGCGACCGCAGCCCATTGACATCCGCAATTGTAAGATCGAGAAGGGGACGCCCAGAAAGAGGATGTTTCCCCTTCTTATGAGTCCTCAACTCCGTTAAATCTACCCCTTTCTTATAAGAAAAAAGTGGGAAGGGATAGAACATCAGAATTAAGGTTCCAGCGTCGCACTCATTAGACTTTAAGCGGAATTATTTCACTTGACACCTGTCTTCTTGTCGTGGCATATCATCGGGAGAGTATATTCGTGAAGAGATGTTATTGCTGGCATCTACTACTGTTAACTTTCAATGTATGGAGGGATGTATATTGATTTTGTAGGTTCCCATGCGCGCGTACAACGCGGTTGCTACTGGAGTGCGGCGCGGAGGTGGACGCGGCGGATGAGGCGCGACGCACAGCTCTACATATAGCTCTTATATCAGTACCGGTAATGCCTGGTAAGAAACTCACATGAAAAATATCTCTTTTACTTATATTTGAAGTACAATTTTACAATTATTGACTCTTCCTAATATAAGGTGAGAAATTGTGGAAACAGCCCATCGATAATCAAAGGTTCCTTTGGACTTGGTTACTTATTGTTCCTTGTATTAAGGATGGATTAGAGTTCCCGTATATGGCTTAGAGGTTTAAGCACTTGGTTTGTAACCGGTACAGATACAGGTCCTGGGTTCGAATCCTGCCATATACTATTTTGTTTTTCGATTTACATTTGTACATTAATTTATTTATTTGCGCATATCTGAGAGGAAATTCAAAGATATGTGTGAAGTCAACCCGCACTTGGCCAGCGTGGTTGACTATGTCCTAATCACCCTTAACTTACGGTAGCTTTCAAGCCCCTCGGTGGGGACGTATAGTGAGCTGATGATGTATTAAGGATAGTAAATACCAAAGCTCCATAGATCTGAGTAGAGTTTGTGTTTGTAGCGGAGGAGCAGCAGCAGTGGGGCGAGGCGCACTGTGCGGTGGTGCGCGAACTTCTGGCTAAAGGCGCTCACGTGGACGCCGTAGATGCTGACGGACTAACTCCCCTCCTCGCCGCTATGGAAGGTAACAATACAAAATGAATAACAGTTGGTTTCCGAGACCAAAAACTGTATAAAAGATCGCTATCATTATCTTTAACAAAACAGAGATAGCATGTTTTAAATGGAGATTTCGGTATCAGAAACCCGGGGTTAATGAATCTCGTGACTTATTTTAATGAACTTTTTTTTTCTTTTCAAGGTCCAGCTGAGAGTCTAGTGCGGTCAGCTCTAAGGCCGAGGCTGTCGTGCCTGGCGGCGGCGGCGCTGGCGCAGCATCGGCGTCAGTACAGACCCTCGCAAGTCCCGCGCGACCTTCACGACTTCCTCACCATGCATGGTGTCACACCAATGAAGTAGCCCCCCGCCTCACACGCACACGTCATGAGGTGCTTACACCTCATACGATCATACCATGAAGTGCGTTTTACCTCAGGATCATACCATGAGGTACTTTAGACCTCAAATGAGGAATTCGAGAAGGCAATTACGATGTCATTTTGCTGATGGCAAATGCGATATGACCTCATTATTATTCTAAGTTGAATATCATGTAAAAGACTTATTATGGATTTAAGAACGCTTCCTCTTACACTCCTCTTGCCGATTTCCGTATATCCTATTCCTCTCTCACTCCCACACACAGATCCGCTATCTTCCTCTCTCTTTTCCTCCTCCAAGGTCAAATCTTACTCAGATATATTGATTTTATGACCAAATTAATTATTGACGTTGCATTGAATTGTGATTTTTTTTAATTTACTTTAATGAATTATTTGCACAAATATCTTACAAAAGAATGTATTTAAATATTATTTGAACGTAAATAGGCTCTACTAATGTAGGGAAATTTTATATTTTATTAATTTTAAGCCATACAAGAGGATATGTCCGCCATTTTGATGTAGCGTCCATTTTGTATTCGTTAGATGTTTTTCATAAATGTTTTATTTTGTTAAATTAAATCGTTGTTTTAACAAGAAATTTCTTTTAAAATTTTAGATTTACAAAGTTAGAACTGTTTTTTCTACTGACTTTAATATTTTTAAATTTTGTATCTTCAGTTAATATTTTTCTCGAAATTAATAATGAAGGCATTTACCATATATGTAAATTGTTGGCTAAGAGCATGAACACAGGGTGATATGTGTTCAGATATGGCATAGTATGACATATGAGGGAAATCGCTCAAATGATATGAATATGCATAGCAATGACTGTTTGTGATATGTCTAGATATTAAAATTAGGATAAGATTTTTAGAAATTTAGATTAACCGGATGAGTAGATGCATGGGAAGGGAAAATATTCTCTTTCTGTGCATCCCCTCTTCCTAGATTAAAGGTAGGCAATGCATATGCAATTGCGTGTCTATGGGCAACGGTAAGATTCGCTATTTCAGCGAATTCAGGTAGTTCGCTCGTTTGCCATGTAGATATTAAAAATGAAGGCGTTTATTGTAAAATGTATTTTATTGCGTTGTATTGTGATCTAAAATAATTTGTACTATTTGGTTAATATATAAAAAATGGATGGTTCCTATCTCTTATAGGAAGAATTAAAGAAGTTAGGAAATAATTCTTTATGGCTACGTAGTTTTTTTGGTATCGGGGGGGGGGGGGG